AAATGCTTAGATTTGGCACAGATTTCCACAGCTTAGGAAAAATGATGAAAAATACAATTTTCTGATAGAGTTGTGTCTGAGCTGTCAGTGCTGGATTATGAGTAAGACCTGTCAGTGGGGAGATGCATTTTTCTTTTAAAGGCACAACACTTAGATTAAATGGGATGAATATAACATATCTCAGTATATGGTAAATGGGCATACATTTTGTTATGAATCCATTTTTAGAAAATAATGTTTGAAAGCTTGATCTGTTTCAGATAAACTTAAAGGAATAATAATAGTAATAATAACTACTCCCTTGTTTTGATAAAGTGCCTCTAAAAAAGTGCTGGGAACCTTGTGCAGAGTTTTGTTTTGGCCTTTAGCACTTTGCCTCTTTTTTTCTGTTAATTATACTAATTTGAAATTATTTTCTCTTTCCAGATCACTCAACTTCAAGTGGCACATTAACTTTTAAGTCTAGTCGATCATTGGTTGCTCTTCCTACTGCCCATGTCATGCCGTCTCACTCCAGCGCTTCTGTTTCCAAACACAGGGAGTCATTGACATCAGATGGCTCAAAATGGACTACAAGCCTCCTGCAAACATTGGGAAGCCACAGTAAGGGGGAGCAGGACTCTTCACTAGACATGAAGGACTTGCGGCCCCTCCGGAAATGGTCATCTTTATCCAAACTCACTGCCCCGGATAACTGCAGTCAGGGTGCTGCTGCACACACTGAAGAGTCGAGGGGTGGTCTGGAAAAGACGGGGAGAGGCAAGGCTTTCACATCACAACCAAGGACGATTGGGCCCAGCTGCTTACATGATAGCATGGAGATGCTTAAGCTAGAGGACAAGGAAATAAATAAAAAACGATCATCAACTCTGGACTGTAAATATAAATTTGAGAGCTGTAGCAAAGAGGATTTTAGAGCTTCTTCTTCCACTCTTAGGAGACAGGCCTTGGACATGACATATAGTGCCTTACCTGAAAGCAAGCCCAATATGACAAGTTCAGAGGCTTTTGAACCTCCAAAATATTTAATGCTTGGTCAGCAGGCAGTAGGTGGAGTTCCCATTCAGCCTTCTGTGAGGACACAGATGTGGCTGACAGAGCAGTTGCGGACAAACCCTTTGGAAGGCAGAAGTACGGAAGACTCTTACAGTTTAGCTCCGTGGCAACAGCAGCAAATTGAAGAGTTTCCACAAGAAAGTGAAACACCAATGCAGGTAAGGCTCAAAATCTAGCATTTGCTTCCCTCCAGTGGAGGCTGTGAGTACAGTAACAGCACATGTGCAGTAAGCAATGGCAGTGTGTCCATGGGCTTAGATTGTTTTGCTTTTTTTTTTGCCTGAAAGTAAAGTAAGCTAAGATGCTGTAAATGCCCAAACGATTGCATTGATAGACAAAACGTAGAAAATATTTGAGGCTGATTAATATGAAAAACTTGGTCTTTACTTTCCTTCTCATATGTGCATGGACATAAAAATAAAGAAAACATCAATTCTAGAAAACTTGAAACAGAAACATAGGCTCTGGCTTGTTATCATAGAACATTAATTTTGGGAATATGAGGTCTTGGATTTTGTTTCTGTTCTGTCAAATTCAGAACCTAGATGATTTAATATCCCTGGGCCTCAGTTTTTCTTTCTTTCTTTTAATTGAGATATAATTGACATATCAGTTTCAGGTGTACAGCATAAGGATTTTATATATTTATATATTGCAAAATGATCACCACAGTAAGTGTAGTTTAGTTTACATCTGTCAGCATATGTAGTTACAAATGATGTTTTCCTGTGATGAGAACTTTTAAGATTTACACTCTTAGCAGCTTTCAAACTTATAATATGGGCCTCTAGCCCCTCGCCTCTGGGAACCACCTCCAATCTATTCTCTGTATCCATGAGTTCCTTTTTTTTTTTTTTTTAAGATTCTACATATAAGTGAGATCATATGGTATTTGTCTTTGTCTGACTTATTTCATTGAGCATAATGCCCTCTAAGATTCAACCATGCTGTCACATATGGCAAGGTTTTATTCTTTGTTATGGCTGAAAAATATTATATTGTGTATAGGGCAGGGCAAAAGTAGGTTTATAATTGTTTGTATGAAAAATAATATAAAAATTAATAAATAATACAAGAATAAACTGTTTCGCATACTCACAGCTGTAACCTACTTTTGCCCCACCCTGTATGTACCACATTTTCTTGAGCTATTCATCCACTGATGGACTTTTAGGTTGCCTCCATCTCTTAGCTATTGTAAATAACTCTTCATTGAAAATGGGCATGTACATATCTTTTCAGATTAGTGCCCCCCCCTTTGGATAAGTCCCCAGAAGGGAAATTGCTGGATCATATGGTAGTTCTGTTTTTAATTTTTTGAGGAACCTCCGTACTGTTTTCCATTGTGAGTGCACCAATTTACATGCTCACCAGCAGTGCACAGGGTTTTTCTGTCTCTACATTCTTGTTAACACTTAATCTCCTGTCTTTTTTATAATAGCCATCCTGAAGGTGTGAGGTGATACCTCATTGTGGTTTTGATTTGCATTTCCATGATGATTAGTGATATTGAGCAGCTTTTCATATAAACAAATTAATTCTAACAAAACTGCAAAATTTCCCTAGAGCAATTTTTAAAAATTATTATTTATTCCTGGTACTAATAAAAATGTTAAAGATTAAAAGAATATATTCTATGAAAGAAAAAGGAGATCACTTACCTAGGAACCTCACAAATCTGAATACAACCCCAAACATACATACCTTAACGTGCTGCATTCACCGGAGAACCCTTAACACATCCCACGTGCCGCCTTTACTATTGGGTTGAACCCTAGTTCTTAAAATCTTGATTATGTATATTTAAAGCACATAATTAGACAGAAGCATCATTGTGCTATCTGAATTACAAGTCAGGAAAGAGCAATTTAACCAGATTTATTTGTGATTTATCAATTCAAGTGACTGAAACCTAATTTTAAACATACTATATTTTAGTTCTCAAATGCTTGTTATAGGAGAACAGGGATCAGGCAGTCATTTCTCCAGTTGGTCTTTGCACAGAATTGTAGTTGTCCAGAGAGGCTGAGTATTCCACTCCAGCCTGAAGTGGGGGCGATAGAAAGGTAACTGAGAAAATTGGTTGAATTTAAAGGTTAAGTATTAATTCACTCCTTCTTTCATTCTGCTTAGATGAATGAATCTCTGCCTTAAACAAAGTTTTCCCCAACCTAACAGTGCAGCATCTTGAAGGTGTATTGTGGAGCAAAACTTATTTTTAAATCTTCCCAGCACATGGTAGAGGAAGAAAGCTATTAAGGGGCAAAATTTGCACACACCCTGGAAAGTTCTACTTTTTTATTAACCCTATTTGGGATGATCTCTATAGTGCTTTAAAGTTTTGGAGTAGGAAGATGAAACTAGGTAAAGAAAACTCAGACACTTCAATTGCAATGTTTAAATGATCACTTCTTGTCTAATTCCCTTCTTGGACTATTACAGAAAAACATTCTTTAAAAAAATGTATTTTTATTGATTTCAGAGAGGAAGGGAGAGGGAGAGAGAGATAGAAACATCAGTGATGAGTGAGAATCATTGATTGGCTGCCTCCTGTACGCCCCCTAGTTCGGATGAGTCCTTGACCAGAATTGAACCTGGGACCCTTCAGTCCACGGGCTGATGCTCTATCCACTGAGCCAAACTGGCTAGGGTCAGGAAAAAAATTCTTAAATAACTTTCTCCTTGGAGTGTCCAGTGCTATCTTTATTATTTTAAAAGCTCTTCTCGTAGTTGTTTTTAAAAAGATTCTTTAAAACATTGACTTCTGTTTAGTCTAATTTTTACATGGAGGGCACAGCTACAATAAGGATCAGCTTATTCTTTCATGTGAGAATGTGTATGATTTTTAAGCACAATTATAAAACTCTCACAATGAAAAAAAAAATTTAAAACCAAGAAAAGGAATCTGGTGAGTCATGATCTAACACCATGATAGGTTTATACAGAACTTTGAAGCTCTTGGAGTATTTTATCTCATTTAATCCTCACAGCCTCCTTCCCCTCCTATTTTCCTCAGATGATTAATATTGTAACATGGAAGTTTGGTCTTCTGAGGACTCAGTCCAGGATAGTGAGTCAGCTTCACAGTCTTCCGTGCATAGTGTTCCTTGATTCCCACGTTTTCTACCAAATCAGCGGCAGTGCAGGTAGTGCAGTGCTCTGAGGCATTTTCCTTTGTGAACTAAGAGAAGCCATTTGTGCCCTCAGTTGGTTGGGGCATAGGCCTCCATGTGAAATGCCCACCAGTGTCCTTGATACTTTCCTCTGTTATACATCACCCCTCCCTTCCCTCCCTCCCCAAAAGCTGTCTGACCCTACAGGAAGAGAAAACAAAGTCTTCATTTTCTTTGGAAAAATGTATGTCTTTCCATGTTCCTGTTGCATTTCTTTTTTGGGGGAGGGGCTGGATATGGAGGGTGTGTACTTCTACACACAGCAGTATCCATTGGACACATTCATTAGTGAAAAAGCATATAAATGAATTTTGTACACATGCTTTAATAAATAAAATTAGTAATACTTGATTTTTTTATCTGTCAACTTTTCTATATAGTATTAGAATATAATTTTTAGACATTTTAAAGTGTGCTGTTACTTAGAAGAGCACAGTTTTTTTGAAAATTTATAATTTTTCCACTTTGCCATAAGACTGAAAAGTAATCAAAGTATAAGTCATTTCTAGGTAGAAGGAAATTCATTATTTTATGTAGGTCTGCCCTCTTGTGTCTGTACTAGAAAATCTTGATCTTATTTTATATGGGGATAGTCACCCAAAACAACCCAAAAATCAAAACTGCTTATATTAGATTTTTTATGATAATACATCATATCAATCATGAGTGTATTAAAGAATGATTTCACTGAGTTCAAGGTCATTGTAATATAGTGATTTGCATTAAATAAACATTGTAAACTAAAATATAAAGGCAACATTTTAAAAGTAATTAGTTTTTAGAACTGTAAAGTTTGGAATTTATTCTACTGTAGGAAGTATTTGAGCATTTGGCATTTACATTTAAAAAATACATTGCTTTATTATACATCATGATAAACAGAATAAATAAGTTACATTTAAAGAATGGGTTTTTGTTCGGTATTATACCTGAGTTACAGTGTTCTGTAATCATCAAGTATAATGTTTTAATTTCTATTAAAGGCAGAATGAAAAACAAAAAAAATCTTTACTTGTAATTTATTAAGGAAAACCTGATATCTGAACAGTTCATAGTTTGAAGTTGATGTTGTGATGAACAATATATTGAAGGGAATAGAGCTTGTTATTTCAAATTTTCCACTTATTTATAAGATCATGCAGCTAATTATAGAATTTGGTTACTTTTTGCATGGGTAATTACACCAGTGAGGTGAATGTGTGTCTTATTTATAAGCTTTCTAGTTCAGTGGTTCTCAACCTGTGGGTCGCGACCCCTTTGGCGATTGAATGACCCTTTCACAGTGGTCGCCTAAGACCATCCTGCATATTAGATATTTACATTACGATTCATAACATTAGCAACATTACAGTTAGGAAGTAGCAACGAAAATAATTTTATGGTTGGGTCACAACGTAAGGAACTGTATTTAAAGGGCCAGAAGGTTGAGAACCGCTGTTCTAGTTGATATTAGGTTTCTCTAACCCATAGATAAGGCTTTGCTCAAGAAATGCCCCTGTCAGTATGAGATCCATTTCCCCTCTGTTCCTCAGTTGTCAGCGAACCCCCTCCCATCTCCAGTACTGCTCAGGAATTCAGAAAAATTTTAAAAATAATGTCTTTATCACTATTCCGCTGCCAGCACTGGTGTTACAAATCAAGGTCAATGTTGACTTTTCAAATACTTTTAGTAACTATATTTTAACAAATCATACAGTAAATTAAATGTTCTATACTCCTTTAATAATTGCTATATTAGTAATATGTCTTGAACTGAAGTTAAAATTATTGGATGATACAGTATGTGTAAACCATTTTAGACTTCATTTTCAACTTCATTACCAAATTTTGGTTGAATATATTTTTCATCACTAATTTTTACTTCTGTTGTTTTATGAGTAGTTGGAAGATATTTTAAATGACCAGAGGGGAAATAGAAAATGTATTCAGCAAGAAAATAGTTCTGGGGCGTATAATTTAGTGTAGTAGAGTGGCCTACCGTATAAGTGTTTACCATCTGATTGGTAGATTAAGGAAAGTAGCTATATTCTGTCATAACCAACAATAAGAAAAAGTTCATTTCAAAATGTAATCAAATAATTAGTTAATTTGGGAGAGAGAATTCAAAAAATTTTATTTTTCAATACTTGAAATGTTACATTTTTCTTTTGTTTGCCTACATTGAGTATGAGGATAGAATAGAAGACAACCTATAAAATATGAAGTCTTAAGATTTCATGATTCCAAAGATACAGTATGGCAAGTTATATACTGTAACTCAGATAATCAACTACATGCAATAAATTAAGGTTAGACTCTATTCTATTAGTGTATTAGTAATTATGGCTAATCACACTGTCAGCTGTTAAATTAACCAGCACTTCTCCTTTATTTATCATAATGTCCTAGAGAAAATAGATTTATGGTTATCTACATGTACTAGCATTCTATAATTCTTTAAAAAATAGTTAAGAGAAATTTTATTTATGGTCTTCTTTTTCCTACTTGATTCTTATGAACTTCAAACAATGTTAAGGTAAGTATAGGAAAAGAATGCAATTTCTATTTTAGAATGGAGGTTATGATAGTTACTAAAGAGACGTTTGTATAATAATAACGAAGATAAAGTAAGGAATCAGTCGGCTATTTAAAATAATGACATGTCATTTGAATGATTATTTTGATACTTGGTGAAGACCTGAAAAATACTTAATAAACATCAAAGAGGCTTTTTCAGTACAATATAAATTATATTTACCCCAAACAGTGAAGCTAATGCTTTATATATGAAGTGACTTGTTAGCAGTACAGTTTCAAAACTAAACTCCTAGTTCATCCTCAGAAAAGATTTGGGATTGAAACTTATAAGCTCTGTTGCAGAAATCAACAGTTACATTATGCACACTTATAGTCATTTTAAAGTTAATTTCAAAAAATCGAGCCCTTTTCATGGTTACAAGATCCAACAGATGAATACATTTGCTAATCATTTCTTCTGAACCTTGGTCTTTGCATGAAGAATTTCCTCTTCATGGGAAGTGGTCTCTTTTCCCCTCTCCGTGGGTGACAGGCTTAAGCTGATGGTGACAGGCTGCAGCACTGGACATGGCAGCAGCACTTCAGAGAAGCATCACGATGATGCAGATCAGCAAGAGGCATATTAAGATGAGACAGAAGTTGATGAACAGGTTCTGGAGATTTTGACGTGCTTGTTGAGGCATTTCAATGGTTGAAGCTCTTCTTATAGCAGAGCGAGTGAGGTATTGGACTTTCTCCATGACGCGGAAGGCAAGGAAATCTGAAGTTTTAAAGGATCAAGACAAAGGAAAAAAGTGGGCAGCCAAATGTGAGGTCACTGTGAGGTAGCCTGGAATGTAGAAAGAGTAAATGGATTAGGATCATATGTGCAACCTGGTTTCTGAACAGGTAAAACACTATTTTGCATTCATCTTCCTCAACATTATTTGTATTTATCACATCTTATATCTCTAGTCTGTACACGTGTGTGCACACACACAGGTGTTTCCTTGTCTGTCCTGTCTCTGGGTTTTTTGGTGAAGGTCACCATGATATCTTATTTGTCTTGTGTTTGGAATGTAATAACTTTATTCCTTGCCTCCTCCTCTCAAAATGACTAGAAATGTAGTTTGTTTTAGGGTGCACCTTGTTTTGGGCTATTGCCTTGGGCAAAAAGTTCTTACATATAGTTTCATTAATACTGTATTTCTCTATGAGCATAAAGTTCTTACATATAGTTTCATTAATACTGTATTTCTCTATGAGCATAATTGTTGTAAGCATTAGTGTCTTAACAGCTCTAGAGCAAATCTCATAAGAAATGCATGCAATAAATTATTCTTCGGATGTTAATCTAGTCCAAAATAAAATAGTTAAATGAGAATTGTTTCACCAGTACTAAAGATTCAAATATTTGTCATTCCTTTTTTGATTTCACTAGAGGCCCAATGCACGAAATTCGTGCAAGGGGCTCGGCCCCCACCGCCGCGGCAGCCATGGGCCTCTGTCTCGCCCCGCCAGCCACAAAGTATGTCTGGTCTAATTAGCAAATTACGCTTTTATTATTATAGATAGTTTTGTAGAATATGCTATTTTAAGTAACATTTTAACAAGTTTTGATACTAAGTACTGAAGACTATCAGGCTCAGAAGTCTTAGCAATAAAATCATCATTATCTCACTTTCTAGCACAGATGGTAACTGTTTATGAATGACCTGTACTTATAGGCAGTGGGTGCCATTTGCTTTTCTTTCAGAGCTTCCACAAGTTATTCTGCATGATTAATTCATTAGTTGCTGCCTTATTATTTGTGATAATTAACAAAACAAAATAAAACCTAAAGCAATACATCACTGTAGAAAGATAATAGCTACTAAGATTTGAGGATATCTTGTTGTCAATCAGGATACTTCTATAAAAATTTTGAAATAAGAAAAATTATGGAATAAAAAACCATTTAACTGCTTAGAGATTATAGCTGTTGACATTTGTTGAAATAGCATTTTAGTCGAGATGTTACTGCTTTACTCCAGCTACCAGATTTAATTTTCTCCCATCTCTCTATATCGGAGGAAAACCCAACTTAATGTGTTAGCTCCATTTCTGTAGAGACTAGTGATGAAGAGAGCAGAAGGGAGAATGAGAGAGTGGGAAAGAGGAAAAGATGGGTCAGTGAGACCTTAGCATTCATTTTTACAAGGAAACCCTGTGGTATATAGTAGTTAGATTCTGTAGTTTCAGTACTTCAACTTGGCTGTATTATGATTGGAATTATATACTAGACCCACTTTCATTGCTGGAGACTCTGGCCTCCTTCATAGAGTTGGCCTGTAGTGATCCCGTTAGCCAACATATCACAAACTTCATTCTCTTAAAGAGTGGTAACAACCTGTGTTAATCTAGTATACATTCTCTGCCAATTCTTAATTGTCCAACACTAGTGGCTGTTACTTAATTTATTTATAACACTCTCTACTTAGAAAATGGCAGCTTAAACTTGTTATATATTTAATTTAATTATTTTTGTTTCGGTTTCTTAGGTAAAATACTATAGAAATAAAGGGGTTTCTCTTATTTAAGAAAATGCATTTTTAAGTTGTTTCTGCTTATATTTGCTTATAGTAGATAATAGTGATTTTATACTGTTGGGTAGTTGTGGGGAAGATTATCTTTATTGCTTCATATAGTTGGATGTATAAGGATATATTAACAGTACAGTTAAGAAAGGAATAAGAATTAGATTGGTAATTTCTATTTGAGCTGGTATTTTTGTGCAGTTTTAGGACTTAAATTGTTTAAAAGGTCTGAATTTAAAAATTGTTTTGAGACAAAACATGGAAAAGGAGGAAGCTAGCCAGTTGTTCATCACGAAGCATTGTATATACAAGAGTCATTCCCTATTATGACACTGGTGAGTGGTGTGTCAGTCACATGAAACATGTCACCTTTCCATAAATACTTCATTCCCTTTTATGATTCTGTCGTTTGCACATGTTGTTCTGGCTCTGCCTGGAATGTTCCCCCCACTCCCCCACCTTGGATTCTTTGCCAGGCACGTTTCAGTGGATACTTAAGGCCCAGCTTAAATATCGCGTCCTAATAAAACCTTCTATTAAGGTAGAATGATTATCAGCTCTGCTAGTTTTTAGTAGGGCGTTAGCGTTACCGATATCAGGATAGCTAGCAGGCTGTGTTGCAATTTTGATTTACATGTTTGTTTCCTCAACTAGACTTCTAGTTCATGAATAAAAGGAGCCACGTGTTTATCTTGTATTCTGGCACTTGGTATATAGTTGGTACTATTTGAATAACTCAATGAAGTTGAATAAGGGATTTTTATGATTTCCTTTAGTATTTTTGGAAAATTGATAATGATCAAAGATAGTGCTGTGATTGACAGATTAACCAATTAGAGTAACAGAATTTGATAGTTGAACATATAGACCCCAAACACTTCTCAAGTCTTTTCCTATTACAGATGAGGAAAGTGAGGCTTAGAGCATTTACATCAGATAATTACAATTTCGAAAAGTTGTTGTCAATGATTAACAACATTAACCTTGTACTAGGCTTTGTACAAATAGGTATTTGGTGTTTGTGAAATACAAAGTAGTGTGCCCTAAAGAGATGAGCTCTCTGCTGATGAAAGTATAAGGAATATACTTTAAAGATGATCTCATCTTTCAATAGCCAGCTATTATTGAAAAAGGATAGTTTGTTCTTGGAAGCAAATTGAGTATAAAGATAGTGGGCTTTTTCTTGTCAAACTTAGAAATGTTATAATTCTGAAGTGATTTGTAGTCACTTTATAATCTTATGCTAAAACTAAAAAACAACTCTGCCTCAATTTACTGGACCCAATTCATTTTACAGTGGTACAGTCTGAAATGTGTTGAGTCCTATTCTGCTCAACTTCCAAAATTTGTATGATGATAATAAGCCAAAATTCATTCATATCAGATGAGGCTTCCTGTTTCATGTTGAGATTGGAAAGCTGTGTGTGGGAACAGCACAGTCCTGTTTTGGAGGTGTCTGTGACCTTTACTACATCACAATAACATGGTTTCAGGGCTTATCATTCTTTCTCTGCAGTCATAGCCATTCCGAGTTTAGAACTACCCCTTCTTAGAGCCAAGCTATAACAGTAATATTTGGTGGAGAACCTAGAAAAATAGTTTCACTTTATTTTCATTTTATCTGAATTTTCTAGAGCATTCTTTTAGGATAACGAGAAAGAGATTGTATTGGGATGTTCTGAAATTGCTTTTGGCTTAAACAGGCATGAAGACAGAAATTAGCCCTTACCCACTCCCCCTTTTACAGGATGACGATATGTGTAAGTTAGGTATTTGGAACGAGAGGAGTGAGGACGTTTTAAAAATTAATTAATTGCTGAAGCCCTAGAATTAGAATATTGAAAATATGAAAGATGCTTTGATAGGAGTTCAGTTGCAGAAATGCCAGATCCCTGTCTCTTGAGTAACATGAAAGAGTCAGAAAGGTGCCCACAGAGTTATCTTGTGAGTCTGTGGGATTTATAATTATTGCAATTTTTGGAGGGATGGGAGAAATAACTCTACTATTGTAGGATTTATAAAGCCTTTGCTTGTTTACTTTTCCTTTTTTTGCTCAAAAAGTTGAACTTGGGAAATAAATGCAATGAAGTTCAGGATAGTTTTCTGTTTTCTTGAGGTGGAAGAAAAAGACACACCACAGGCAGCTCTAATCCATCAACAGATGTGTGCCACGTTAGGCAAATTTTGGGTGGAAGGTACTGCATCAGTTTCTGCAGGAGTCCTCTCTGAGTCATTTTCTTATGGATTAGCAGATGCATCTTGTGCAAAAGGAACCTCAGTACACTTTTGAAAACGTTCCGCGGTCTGCTTTATGGATTGTTAGGCAATTAATGTGTATGCTGAGTATTCATCCCACCTATAGTTTAAGTACTTTCAGTCCTTTGCAGAACTTTCTGAACCAGTTTTTGGGGGTGCTCCCTCTACTGAATTATAAATTCCTGAGATCTGAAAATCTTGTGGAAGACTTTCCTCTGATTTTTGTCTGCTTATTTATTCTTTTAGTAAATGTGGGCATATTATGCTAGTAAATTCAAGTCTGACATATTTTTTGATTTTTTCCCCATTTAATTGGTTCATAAGATTAGAATTCGGTATAGATTTGAGCTTACAGGATTTGTCTGTATTGGTATTATTTTGGTATTTTATTTTTTCCTACTATTTGCTGTCATTTTTGTAGATAATCTAGAAGTGATTGTGTGTGCAGTTATTTTTGATTTATTGATTAAATCAAGACAGTTCATCATTAGATTTATCATTCTGTTAGCATCCAAAAGTTATTTTGATAGAATTATTTTCCTTTTGAGGTTGCCTAATGCTAAACTTGAAAGTTCTAATTGAAGTTAAATGTGACAGCAGCATTTCAGAGCTTTGTTAGTTCACACTGACTATTTGAAAGAATCTTCAAGCTGCTTCTGCCTGGTTATGAAAAGAATTGTATAAGCATAAAAATCAGTTTATTCTCAAACCTTAAAACGACTCCATAGCCCTAGCCGGTTTTGCTCAGTGGATAGTGTTGGCCTGCAGACTGAAGAGTCCCGGGTTCGATTCTGGTCAAGGGCACGTACCTTGGTTGCAGGCTTCGGGCCCTGGTCGGGGGCATGCGGGAGGCAATCAATCCATGTGTCTCTCTCACATCGATGTTTCTCTGTCTCTCCCTCACCCTTCACACTCTAAAAATCAGTGGAAAAAATATCCTTGGGTAAGGATTAAAAAAAAACTTCATAATGAAATGTTTCTATTGCTTTAAAGCTGTGCCTTGAGGAAACTATATTGAACAATAGTGCAGAGAGATTTTCTCTTTGAAATTGGCACTTTGCTGTTGCTGTTTTGTCTGTAGGCTTGTCTTTATTATATTTATTTTGTTAAAATTAATTTATTTGCAATTAAAATATTATTTTTAACCCTGTAGTAGTTGAGACTTTAGATTCTTCTTTTGAGAAAAGATTATGTGGGGAGGTGTAGTGTAGGGGAACTTTTAAGGAAAAATGAATGCCAAGTTAAATATATGCCCACTAATGTGAGAGGATTTTTTTAAAAGACCTGAAGGTGGAGTACATTGTAAAAAGCACTAGAGGGCCTCAGTTGACTACAAGTAAACTGGGGTGGAGATGTACACTCAGGTCTCATTTTCATGTCTACTTGGTAATAAATGCGTCAGATTTATGCAGGGTAAGATCACTGAGCACTATTTCTAGAAATGTTCAAGGAGACTATATATTATCTGGCTTAGGTCACTGTTATTTAGAAGGATTATTTCCTGGACTTCTAACCTTCTAGGTTTACTCCTTTGCTGGTATGGTCAGCACTGTGTTAATTCACAGCATTGATGAAGGCTAGTGATTCCGGTAGCATAAATAACAAGATTCCTCTGTTCAAGCACCCCAAAATATATGGGGTTGAATATTTTAAATGGTAGAATGTGAGGAGGTCAGAAATGAAATTAAGAAAAATTAAAGATTTAATATATAACTGGGACAAAGTATGAAAAGTTTTGAAAAGTTAACCTGGATTTTAGGTTATCAAAACTAAATAGATTAAAGGCATGAATATTTCAGCAATGGAACAAGTTAAAGGAAACTTGAGTTTGATTATGTTAATGTTTTTTAAAGTCTGTGTAACTATTTTGAGTTTTGTCTTCCAGGGTGTATTACTTAATAACTAAGGTCATCTATAATTTTCTTACATCCCTGGCTTTGAAAATGATCAGGATAGTATTATATAGGCTATTAAGGATATAATGCCTTATGCACAAATAAACTTTAAATGAAATAGAGTGATTTAAATTATAAGTTTATATCCTCTGACTTTGCTTTTTAGAGTACCATTGATAGTATTTGAGGACTTTTATTTTGCTTTTTCAATGTCATGATTTATTTTTAAGCCACGTTCGTCTCTGGATAGGATGTGCATGTGGTTTAGAGTTAGAAAAGCTTGGCTCTTGGCCAAGGCTCCACCATTTCCTAGCTCTGTGACCTTGAGAATTCACTTTTTCACATCTGTTAACTAAACTATAAACTAGAGATGCAGTGTGAAACACATAGGGAACTAAGAGGATCAAATGAAATGTTTGTATACACCAGTGCATTTAGAAAATTGTTCAAGAATAAAGAAGGAAGTTTTAATGGAATCTTTATTTCTAGGATTGGTAAATATAGTCTTACTTAGAAAGGTGATCTAATCTTTACATTTAATGTTTACTTAAAATTTTAATATATCTTATATAATTAAATATCACATTTAACAAGTTAAAAATTTTATTCTTTCTTTTTAACTATTTTATCTATACAAATATTCTCTCTAATTACTGAGATTAAGAAACAATATGTACAAATATGAACCAAATGCAATTTTTTCTGGAATATTTTTTTCCTTAATGTTCACTGAAATACTATTAAAATAATTTTTGGAAGTTGAGTTTTAGGAAATGACAGTGATGTAACTGATGTCTCTTGATAAAGCCAAGTACTCTAGCTCTTTCAAGTGTTTTTTGTAATTTAAACATCTTGCGCATTTCTTCCATTTTATTCCATCTGACACTTTTTTAGCACTTAATTTTAAACCACATAGCTTTATAAACAAAGACCATACTTAAATTTTACCTTATGATAGAGATAAACTAGTTGGGATAAAAGTCTGGCAATGATGCATAATATTTGAAATTTGAGCAATAGTCACTGTTAATCTGGATATACTATGGAAAACTTTAATAGCAGAATTTATGCTCTTTCTAGAAATTGTCAATTTTTTGGAGCAATATGTGATGTGACATTCTGATATTATAAAGACTCACAAACATTTCATTTGAAATATGAGGATGTAATTTGGTATTTGAGTAAAAATGAATAAATATGCATATAAAACACCTTCACTGAGTGACTTCTGTGTAATATCAAAGGAAAAACATGCTGTGGATATAATGATATTCAGAGGCAGGTAGGGTGCCTCAGTGGTAAACAAAAATTAGAAATGTTTTTGCATGCTTTAAGGAAAGCTGCTTATGGATATACAGTGTTCTTGTCTGTGTAAAGCAGTAGAGTTAACATTTGTCATAGGAACTTAGAACTCTCGAGGTAAATTTTATTTTGACATACATATAAGAATAACGAAATAAAATTGAAGTATTATTCTTTATGCCATGACTGAGATTTAAGAATGAAGACACATTTTATATATTATATTGAGGATTATAACATCTTGAGTAGAGTAGAATTCAAACAGAAGTTATACAATTTATTGTGGCATCTTTATCCCTGAGCATTTCTTTCACTTTTCCCCCATTTTCCTTTATCCCCCTCCTAAATGCAGGAGGGAAACTGAAGAACACTTGGAGATAGTAACTTGAAAAAGACATATTCATTAATAGGCAGAATAAACACTCATTTTATCATATTCACTCAAATGAGATGTTTAGGAATGTTTTGCTTCCAAAGTAATGTCTGTTTTTAAAGAGCTGCATTACTATTCTGTAATTTTAGTAAGAATTTTGCATGTGTTTTTGACAAGTGTTTTAAAATTTCCAAACTCATTATTGATGCTGTAATACTGAATTTAATATAAGTAACTCAATTTATTAAATGCTTAGATTTTTTTAGCAGTGTTTGTTAAAGTTGACTGACTTTATAGCAAAGAAAAAAGTCTTCAAAAGCATTTTAAAATAGTTTATATTATATATTTTAATGCCAGTTTATTACCTGTAGGGAATCATAATGGAAATATTGGAATAGTCACGCCAATAATGTGCATGTTGTACAATCACGCCAATAATGTGCATGTTATACTATTCATAGTATTCCAGATGTAAATAGCCCTCTCCCATCCTGTTTCTTAGCAGAGTAACAACAACAAAATGAAGCCATTGTCTTTGCATGGAGAAATCAACTCATCACTACCACCAAATATAGTAACATAATTGAACGATATTTTAATTGGCAGAAAAGCACTTTTAAAAAGCAAAATAAAAGTGAAAGTTAAATTAAAATGACAAACCAATAATCAGGATCAAAGATGAATAACCCTTATCATTTCAAGGTTGTCTTATTCTTTCTGTCGCTGAATGAATAAGCATTTATTTAGAAATTAAGCTTTTTGTCATAGCAGACATCTTATTGTCTAACTTTGAACTGAAATTTACAATATGCCATTCCTTTTTTAAAAGTTAAGTAAGTTTGAATTACAGAAAGTATTACCAAAATCAATGAAATCTCTTTTATCTTACCTTGACTGTTGTGATGATCCCAATATATAGAGTATTGTGAGTAGTATGAAGTCTTATCGGCGTTTAGCTGGAAAGTTTTCTCTGTTACCAGATTTATGGGAACAATTGAAGTAGGTGGAGGAGAAAAAGTGTTTTAGGGAGGTCTTATGATGTCACACAGGAATTCTGAAGTTATGATTGGTTAGCCATAGTCTTATCACAGCCAAACTTTTTAGAATGCCATTTGTCTTACTTTAGGTGTGGAAAGGTCATTAACATTTTGTGCCTCATTTTCTTATTTTTAATTTTAAAAAGTATGAGATAGATGAATGAAAAAAATAATTTTGGGGTGTAGAAAGCTCTTTTTAAAAACTCATGCAGCTTTGGGCTTAGAAATGATTGTATACAGAGAGTGATAATGTTGAAGAATGAAAATAGTTACATTAATAAGAATTTTAATAGAGTGAAAATAACAATACTGACTTAAGCCAAACAACTTTTGTTGAATTGCTGTTGTTTTAATTCTGCAGCTTCATAATGTTAACTTCTAACAAGACAATAATTAAACATTTTCACAGAAAACAAATTTTATACCTTTTCCTGTTTTATTTTTACATTGTTTCCTCATACTTATGTGTATCAGAAAGCCAGGCTAATAACTAATTTTTGGTTTTTCTGACGGCTAAAGTAAGAAGTAATAAATGTATTTAATACATTTGTGTTTCCTTCAGTTAGGGTTTTAACAATATATAAGCAGTGATTCTCATATTTAACTGATGCATATCACCACAAGAAAAGTTGTACTTTAAAATGGAAGTATTTAGGATTTTATTATAGCTGCATTAAGTTACCATAAAATATTACTAAAATTTTAATAAGTTGACACAGAATCAAGCGTAACATTCTAGCAAAAGAGAAATAATCACAAATTCCTAATCACTGGCATCCTAGTTAATGATACTTTGCTGACAATAGGTGTGCAGGCTGGAAATTTTTGTGTAGTATTTATAAAAGGAAGTGCCTCATTTAATACAGCAGTTTTCCTGAAAATTACTGTATAAATGAAATTTTAGTAAATGGGATGACATTTTGAACTTCCTGGAACAGTTTATCTTAAGGTAGAAGTAAGAAAAGAATTCTTTTGAAAAGCCAGGCATCATTCCTGTTTTATTCTGATTTTTGTTTATATATTAGATTTACTTAAATCACCAGACCTGCAAAGTCTGATTTTTAAGTCTCTTCTGTACTTTTGGGAGAGCTATTTGTTAATATTTAATTTTTTAATACTTAAGCAGGGTGAACTCAGCCTGCTTTCTTATGGGTAACTGAAATGTATTGCAGCAGCTGCTGTGTGTCCTTAAATGGAGATGATTTTGGTTTCCTCCAAAGAAAGATAAAATCATTCTCTAGAGCAAAATCTCTCATTATTTAGAGAATCAACTAAAACTAATAGAAAAATATTTCTGCAAATACCTCCTGTGAACATTGCTAAGGGAAAATTTACAACTTAAAAGTAAAACCCAATGTTAAAAATACTGCATGAATAATGTTTGACATTTGCTCAGTGTTCTATAAGCATTTTTTTCTTTCAATCTTTTCATAATAAGAATCTCTTACTATCAATTGCCAGTGATGACTGAAATACATAACCTAGGCTCAAAATACAAGCATAAAGTGGTTTACAGTTATATCTGCTGAGAGACCGAGGATTCCAATCCAGATGTTGAGTTACAATTCATTGACAGTGGCATGTTTGAGTCTGCTTTAAGTTTACCTGCCAGATATACATTCATTTGAAAATGACGCTTAGGGGATAGCTCACTATAGTATAAGCACCTTTAGTTCTGGAAAGAGAATTAGTAATACTAGTAATATCTACTTGGATAAACGAAATAACTGCCATGGACTGAATAAAATATGCCATGAATATCTCACATGTTGCTGTATTTGCTTTAGAAGCATACATAGGTGTGACTCGCATGCATACACACCCACCTTAGAAGGATGTTAACGGTGTGTGTCAGAGTTGGTGAATAGACGCAGAAATTTACTTTTCAGATTTGTACAAAAGTGGGAGGTTTCTATTTACCCATTTCCTTTTGGTTAGCTGCTGCTCCTAATTATTATTAGTCCAAAGGGAGCTCTAAAAAGTGTTACATTTTAGTTTTAGCCTGATGCAGCCTAAACAGAAAGTTGTTTAATAAATAGGAGCATTGGTGAGCTACAATATAATCAGTAGAGTATTCTTCAAAAATTCCACAACGAGGGGCTGGAAACTGTTTTTGGAGGTGCTCTGTCAGAGTATTAATTTGGAGTCACACTATATAATTCGAATCCACTTGTGGTCACATGACCATATGCAGCTTCCCTTTGCTGCCTTGTCTATGGAATGGGTTTGTGGTGAGGGTTTAATGAGATGAAGTATGTGTAGTGACAGAAATTCTGCAACACAGTGTTCATTTAGTGTTAGTACTTACTTTCTCTTTTTCTTTAGAAGATGGTCCTTAATTAACCTACAGTCCATGGATAGAGTTCAATGGTCTTTAACTTGGATAAGAAAGATTACATGTTTATTTTTTACTAAACTCTACATGAGATATAGCCCTTCTTAAGATTTGACTATAGACCACAAACTGCAGAAATGTTAATACACTTGATGTCATGATAGCAATCTCAGAAAACTTCAGAGCTTTAAATACTGTTTATATTCCTCACTACTTTAAAATTACCATAATTAGACCTGCCTGTAAATATTGTAATTTAATGTATTAAAGAAGCTCAAGTATTACATCACAGATTTGTTTTTTAAAAAGAATTATTTAAGGATAATTCATTTTCTTTCTAGTGCTATGCTTTTTTTTTTTTTTTCAAGCTGGGTACAGTGAACTGTATTGATGGTGCATGACAAGGTACGGCTTCCTAACCTCCTCCCCTTCTTCAGGGGGCATTTAATTTTTTAGAACAATTCTAAATTTACAGAATTAATGCAAATATAGTACAGAGGGTTTCTGTGTACCCCACACACCATTTCCCCTGTTGTTAATGTTCTGTATTAGTATGGCACCTTTGTCATAAGAGTTGCACCAAGACAGATTATTTTAGCCAATACCCCTACTTTATTCAGATTTCCTCAGTTTTCTGTAGTGTCTTTTCCTTTTCCAGCATCCTATCCAGGATACCAGATTACATTTAGTGGTGACAGTTTCTCAGACTTTCCTTTTTTGATGACCCCAAACATTCTGAAGAGAGCCGGTCAGATATTCTGTAGAATGTTCCCCAGTTGGAATTTGTCTAATGTTTTTCTCGTGGTGAGACTGGGTAATGTGTTTTTGAGAGGAAGCCCATAGAGGTAAATGCCATTTTCATCACAAATCCAGTGTACATGCTGTCAACATGAGTTACCACTCTTATTGTTAAACCTTGATCACCTGGCTGAGCTGTAAGGTCCGTCTGGTTTCTACATTGTAAGGTTACTCCCTGACCCTCCTTACTGTATCCACAGAAGAAAGTCATTATGCATAGCCCACACTTACGTTTCCCTGCCTTTACAGTGGAATGTCTATAAACATTATTTGGAATCCTATGTATTTTATGTGTATAAAACATCTTAAGAACAAATCAATAGGCTTCAGCAGTCTTCCAGAAAAGTCCATGGCATGAAAAGTTGAGAATTCCTGTGTGAGAGCGCATTTCTGTAGCTGTCTGGGGCAGCCCTTATTTGAAAGAGGACTGACTTCTCACGCAGGCTCAAATCCGGACCTCTTAGTTTGCTTTTTTAGGCCCTGTCTTCCTAGCTTCATCTCTTATCACATTCCTTTGTATTGTGTGCTCTGGCCCTGTGCAGCTGCCAGCGACTCTCGGAACAGGCCATTGTTCTATTTTAAGCCTCCCTACTTTTTTGTAGGAATGTCCTTCTTACCAACCTTTCTGCCCATCAAGTGCTGTTTCAATTTATATCTGCTGTGCAGCCCTCCCTGCCTTCTGTCAAACAATTTTGCGTGTTCCTCTGTTATCATGTCTCTCTTTATTGCATTTATAAGTATATGTGCCTAGACTGCAGGCTTTTTGAGAGCTGATCCAATAACTCATATTTATACTGCTATTTATTCTGAATAGTATTACCTAGTACAGAACCTGGCTCATAATAATTCTTAAATACTGATTAAATGAGTGATTGGAAGAGTGAATAAAGGGAGAGTCAGGGAAGATTGCATTGTTGGTAGTGAATGAGTGGTCCTGCAGAAGTAAGTGTTAGGGACAATGATAAAATCCTCCATTTTAAGCTTATTGTAGTGGAGGAGGAAGAGGATGGGAGATTAGGGATTAGAGTAGAATAACTGGGAAAGTAACTTTTTTCTTGTCATTTAAAAAGGTTTAAATATATTTGGAGGGTAAGAGTGAAGGAAGGCAAAAAAAAAAAAAAAAAAAAGGAGTGAAGAGTGAAGGAAGGCCAAACCATAAGCACACATTCTCTAAACGTATTTATATTTTGGGCATTTTTATGTGATTATATATTAAATGAGTGTTGTTTTTACCGCATATCAATGTGCCATAATATATTGAATTAGTCTCTTATTTGATATTTGGTGATTTATAACTTTTGCCATTATAAAACATATATAAATAACCCTTGATGAACATCTGTGTAAATAAATTTGACCTTCCTTTGTCTTTTTTAGTCTTGACTCTATAAGCTTGTTATAACTAAATGTCAGTTTATTCAAGGATGATCAAGCTCTTAAATGAATTTGATTTGTATTTGAATTCCAATTTAGTAATTTTTGAAAGTTTTGGTAGTTAGGTGACAGCAGTTCCTTTTATATCAATAAACTTCTTTGATAAAATGATCTATGAATAGAATTTTTTTTGGTGAGGATTAGACTGAAACTGGTCAACATGCAGAGTGATATGACTGAATCACCCTACCCACTAAAGGAGTCACACTGTGGGTTTAGGTCAAGTGGCCTTTTTAACTGTGCTTCTGCGCTAAGGATGGGGAAGTTACCCTTACCTTGATTTAGGTCTGAGATTTTATATAAAGACTTTGATTTTAACATTTCAGTCCTTGATTGCCTCAGGTGGGACCCTCTGAAACATAATAGCCTTTGTCCTTCAGTTACACAATCCTCTTTAGGTTTCTAGAACACAATTTCAAAAGAAC